AATGCTGGATGCTGATTGGTACCTTTCTCCTATTGGGGAAAAATCCGAGAAGTTCCAAAATCAGTTTTAACATCTCCCCTGCTACTCTGCCTTGGTTAAATTTGAGGATGATTCTCAGCAAGCATCTCTTTTGCAGAGGTGATCAAAGCTACCTTGATAATATCCACGTCCCTTTCTCATTACTTGTTTATCTAGTCACTGAGTTTCTCTTATTCCAGCCAATACCTTTGTTGATCCGAGATAACCCAATAGACTTGGGTCCATCCTGGCTTCTGGGACTCTGCTTTATCTAGGAATGTGTGTGGCTATTTTGTGACTTTGACAATTGTTGTTTCTTTCAGATTTTGGAAGATGTGCTGGAGATTGATCGAGTTACTGCGCATTTCTAATGCAGAATGAACTAAGAACCAGGCATTTTGTTGATGAAGCCAGGCGACCTTTAAACCCTCATGATGGTCTAGTTTCTTTTTTAAAACTGAACTCAACGCAGACAGTGGGTAAAACTGAGGACATTGTGATTGAATACAGCACTGCAACAAGCAGTTTTTATTAATTTTCAATGTTTATACAGATTAGTTTGAATGTATTGTCTGTTTTTCATACTTAAATATTTTGTAATGCAAATAGGGTAAAAAAATCTTTTTTTTAAAATATGCAGCATTTTTTAAACTTCTTTTTTCATAGCCCTCTAATTGTGGGAACATCTTGTAAATGCGTTTGTTTTCCAATGCCAAATGTACAATAAGGTGCTTCTCTATGTTGGATTGATGGCATAACCATAGAGAATCGCAGGATTACAGGGAATTGCTTGAACCCAACCTGCTATCCCATCTGTTGTCTATGTTTAATTGATTGTGTTATCTGGTTCTGCTGACTAAAAGCTGTCTAATTATTCATTTTGACTCCTGTGGAGTTTCAGCGAACCAGCATCTGAGCTAAGTGCCCGTTGATGAATATTGTCTTGGGTTCACTCTTTCCCTGGGAATTAGAGAAAGCTAATACAATCTGCTAATAGTAAATCCTAATTGGAGCTTTGACTTTTTATGCTTTAATGATGGGGCTCATGGACCATTAAATCAACTGTCAGTCAGTACCTCAACACAGAGGTTGGTTCTGGAACAATGACTCTGAAGTTCCATCTGGTTTGGAAAATCCTTAATTTTTTTTTTTTGGATTAAAAAACTAAAAGGTGCAGAGCTAAATCTCCAGCAGAGAACCTTTTAGTCTCAAATGTCCAGGTAGCATACAAGGGCCTAGTAGCATGGATTGTGCTGCAGCTCAGTGATTAATTACATCTAAAAAGTTTTGGTCCCTTCTGAAATGAGGCAGCTGTGCCTCACTACTGCACTGGTGTTTTGGCCTTGATTTTGTCGTGAGAACCAGAGTTTATCATTCAACTAACAATGGAAAGAAAAAAATGGAAGTGAAGGATGATTTATCAAACACATTCCTTAATACATCCATACTATACCTGTTATTTAGTTTATTATAGTGACCGTCCTAAAGATGAAATCACTATGTACCGGATGTTAATGGCTAATGGAGTTCTTGTGCAGTGTAGTTAGCATGGTAACACTGAAACATGACAGCTAGCAATCTGACCTTTATTAGTAATACATATCATTGAAGGATGAAGATACTAATGAGAACTTGCCTGTTTTTTTTCAAATAGTGTCATGTCAGAACATAGCCAGGGCCTCAATTCAGCATCTTATCTCAATAGTGAATGAAGAGGTAACCCTAAACAATATGCCATACAGTGTCTGGTCCCCATCTCTTCTGCAAGGTGGATGAAGAGGATATGACCAATGAAATAATGGTGAATATCAGGGAAAAAAATCTTTACTTAAAATATCAAAAGTAACTCAACGTACAATGAAGTACCATCATAGCATTAATAAGTCAGAGGTGAGATTCTATAGGCCGAACAGCCTTAAGTTCCTGACTTACAGTAGAAATTATCACGGTACAGGGACAGAAAGAGACGAGTTGAGGTTCAGAATTTTCATCCATCAACAAAGTCCTGACTGATTTATTTCAAGACATTGTGTGATTTGTGCCATTTCAACCAATGGAGTGCAGCCATTGGCACAAGAAAACTGCTCATTAATCGTATTGTAGAGAAACAACAGTAACAAAGCTGAATTTCCCATTCCTTCTATAGTTATGGGGTGAGCAAACAGCTCTGGTTTAGGTAGAAATGGTGTCGGCTATAGGCTGTTGCATGAGGTTTGGCAGTGATATGTTGACAGGAATAGTACTAGCTGAGGAGTGAAAATGTTGATGAGAATTCAGATTCCTTTGGCTCTACTTCCATTTATCTATGAGCATTGCCAAAGGTTCATTGCTACTTGGTTAGGCACCAGCCACAGTGGTCAGACTCTGTTCTGATTTGAGGTAAGGAGAAACCAAGATTTCCAAATAAAAGGTCCAGTAGATTCTCACATCCGTAATAAGTTTTGAATTGACAGCCCAACATATTACTCCACCAGGTAATTGTATAAATCTTCATCTGGCACTATCAGACCAAAGTAAATGAATAATCGTAAAAGCACGGAGATTATCTTCATCATCATACTTTCTGACCTGAGGGATAAACAAAGCACACTTACTAAATACACCAACTCTATCCACATTTTAAGACAGGTCTTGGTTTTCTGATACTTTGACAGTACTCTCCCATGACTATTATCAATAATCAAAGAAATGGAAACTTCTTGAACCCTCACCCTCATTATAGGCACAAAAACAGACAGTGAAAAACTCAGCAGGTCTGGCAGCCTCTATTGACATTTTGGGTCCAGTGACCTTTCTTCAGAACTGATTGGTATATATGCTGAAGATGGGATGGTGGGGTGGGGGGGAGGAGTAAATGATAGGTGGTGATGTGTGCTGAAGATGGGTTGGGGAGGAGGTGGGGGAGAGTAAAGTCAAAGGAGGGAGAGAACAAGGTGCACAGCTGGATGAACACAGCAGGTCAAACAGCATCAGAGGAGCAGGAAAGCTGACGTTTTGGGCCTAGACCCTTCTGATACCCCAGAAGGGTCTAGGCCCAAAACGTCAGCCTACCTGCTGTGTTCATCTAGCTCTACACCTTGTTCTCTCAGATTCTCCAGCATCTACAGTTCCTACTATCTCTGAGAGAGAGAACAGTAGGGCAGACAAAAGAATGCTTAAAGGTCAGCCAGGAAAAAGGAATAGCTGCTAATGAGGATCATTAGTAGCCAATGAGTGTGTGGTAGCAGCCCATGTGATGACAAGGCCTGGGAAGTGGAGGCTGAGGTAAGGATAGGGGAGAAGGTGTCTAAGCCTTAAAACTGTTGAACTCAATATTAAGTCCAGAAGGCTGCAGAGTTCCTGAGGAGAAAATGAGGTGCTGTTCTTCCAGCTTGCCAGGAAGCCTGAGACAGATGTTGGCCACAGAACACCACTGTGTGTTGAAATGGCAGGCAACTTGAAAGGTCAGCATCATTTTTGCAGACAGAATGTAGGTATTCTGCAAAGTGGTTGCCCAGTTGCGCTCTGTTTCTCCAATCTTTATTCATCCATGGGAAGAGGGTGTCGCTGGCTAGGCAGCATTTATTGCCCATCCCTAACTGCCCAGAAGGCAGTTAAGAGTCAACCACATTGCTGTAGGCCAGACCAGGTAAGGATGGTAGTTTCCTTCCCTAAAGGACATTAGTGAACCAGATGGGTTTTTCCAACAATTGACAATGGATTCGCAGTCATCATTAGATTGTTAATTCCAGATATTTATTGAATTCAAATTCCACCATTTGCCGTGGCGGGATTCGAACCCAGGTCCCCAGAACAGTACCTGGGTCTCTGGATTAACAGTCCAGCAATAATACCATTACCTCTGCCTCCCCTAAATGTAATGTAGAGGGAGACCACTGTAAGCAGCGAATGCAGTAGACTAGCTTATGTGAAGTGCAGGTAAAGCATTGCACACAAGCTACAGGTGATTTTGGGGTCATGGATGGTGAGGAGGGAAGAAGTAAACAGGCAGCAGTTACGCCAATTGCAGGGGAAGGTGCTGGGAGTGAGGGAGTGGACCAGGGTATCTCAGAATGAATGGTCCCTGTGGCAAGCTGTCACAAAGGAGGGGAATGGAATGTGTGTCTGATGATCCTCTGGATGTGGATGCTGGTGGAATAGCAGGTGAGGACAAGGGGGAGCCTTTTGCTGTTGTGGGAGGAAAGATAGTGGGTGAAGGCCAAAGTGTGAGAAATTGGTTGTGTCCGGCTAAGGGCTCTGTCAATCACGGTGTGGGGGAGTCCTTGGGTTGAGGAAGAAGATGGACATTTGAGGCCCCCTTGTCAAAGTTGGCATCATCAGAATAGATGCGACAGAGATGAAGAAACTTGGGAGAATGGAATTGACCCCTTTCAGGAAGCAGGGCATCCTGTGAAGATTATTAGTCCACGTAACTCTGGGAGTCAGAAGGTTTGTAGTGATTTTATTGGTAGCCAGCCTATCCCCAGAAATGGCAACAGATGTCAAGGAGGGGAAGGGAGGAGTCAGAAATGGACCAGATAAAGGTGACAGCAAGGTGGAAATTGGAAGCAGAATAGGTGAGAGGGCAGCTCAGTGTTTAGCACTGCTATCTCACTGCACCAGGGACCTACGAGGTGGTGAAGGCCTAGTGGTGTTATTGCTGGACTGTTAATCCAGAGACCCAGATAACATTCCTCCCACAGTCCAAAGATATACAGATTAAGTGGACTGGCCATGCTAAATTGCCCATAATGTCCAGGGATGTGCAAGCTAGATGCGTTGACCATGGGAAATGTGGGGTTATAGGGATGGGTTGGTCTGGGAGGGATGCAGAATGGCCTCCATCTGTACTGTTGGGATTCTGAGAGGGGCAAGCAGCACTAATGACATATACCAGAGAAAGGGTGGGGACTAGAGTAGGACTGCAACAAGGAATGTTCCATGTGCCCCAGTTATGCCTATTATAGGCCTTGGTTAAGGATGTGAATGTCCTGAATGTCTGTGACCTAAGTAACCTTCAAATGGAAGTATATTTGTGTGGATTGGGTTTGCTGATAAATGCTCCAACAATCACAGCATGCTGAATAGTTGAGCTGCTGGGGCCTGTTTCTCAGTAGTCTTTATAGAATCTCTGCCAGGCTTACCTGAGACTGATCTCAAATTGGAGGCTGGCCCACTTTATCTTCAGCCACTTGAAAGCACCAATTGTCCAAAATCCTCCAGTGTGTTTATTTGTTAATAGACTGTGTGCTTTAACTGCACTGCAAAGAAAGATACATTGGAGTATGTTAGAAACACCAACCCTAAGTGAGAGACAGTCTCTGAATATGTATGATTACTGACCTAGACCAGAGATAATAAATACAAAGGCCCCAAACACCACAAGAAGCCAAGGAACTTTGGTCCAACTGCAAGAGCTCAGGTTGAACCAAAGACATGCCCATCAGTAGGCTTCAGATTCTTCATCTAAATCACTGGAGGGATATAGCTAGGATTATGACTGTAGCAGACTTCAACCAGAAAAATTGCTAGCCATCAATGAATAACTCTACAGAACCATTCTGCTGATGAAAATATAGGCAGTTTGAGGAGTAAGTTTGCAAATGACATGAAAATTGGTGGAGTTGAGGATGGTTGCTTAAAAAAAAATCATAGAATCCCTACTGTGCAGGAAGAGGCCATTTGGCCCATCACATCTGCACCAAACCTTTGAAGAGCATCCCCCACCACCAAACCCCTCTGCTTGAACAAAGAAAATTACAGCACAGGAACAGGCCCTTCGACTCTCCAAGCCTGCACCAACATGCTGCTCATCACAACTAAAACCCTCTACCCTTCTGGTGATCGTATTCCCTCAAGACGCCCTTTAAAAGTCACTATCGTATCTGCTTCCACTACCTCCCCCAGCAGCGAGTTCCAGGCACCCACCACCCTATGTGGATTAAAAACTTGCCTCGTTCATCACCTTTAAACCTTGCCCCTCGCATCTTAAACCCCGTAGTAACTGATTCTTCCACCCTGGGAAAAAGCTTCTGACCGTCCACGCCCTTCAACAATCTTGTAGACCTCTATCAAGTCGCCCTTCAACCGCTGTCGGTCCACTGAGAACAAGCCAAGTTTCTCCATACTCTCCTCATAGCTAATGCCCTTCATACCAGGCACCATCCTGGTAAATCTTTTCTGTACCCTCTCCAAAACCAGCACACCATTCTGGTAGTGTGGCGACCAGAATTGAACATACTATTCCAAATGCAGCCGAGCTAAGGTTCTATAAAGCTGCAACATTACCTGCCAATTTTTAAACTCAATGGCCCTGCCGATGAAGGCAAGCATGCCGTATGCCTTGTTGACCGCCTTCTCCACCTGCATTGCCACGTTCAGCGATCTGTGTACCTGTACACCCAGATCCCTCTGCCTATCAGTACTCTTAAGGGTTCTGCCATTTACTGTATATTTTCCATCTGGTTTAGACCTTCCGAAATGCAATATCTCACATTTTTCCAGATTAAACTCCATCTTGCCATCTTTCTGCCCAAGTCACCAACCTATGTGTTATCTGCAAACCTACTAATCAAACCAGTTACATTTTCCTTGAAATCATTTATATATATATTACAAATAGCAAAGGTCCCAACACTGATCCCTAAGGAACACCACTAGTCACAACCCTCCATTCAGAAACACACCCTTCCACTGCTGGCCTCTGTCTTCTATGACCCAGCCAGTTTTTTAATCCATCTTGCAAGCTCACCTCTGACCCTGTGTGACTTTACCTTCTGTGTTAGTCTAGCATGAGGTTGCCTTGTATTATCATGGCTAATCCACCTAGTCTGCACATCCCTGGACACTACGGGGAAATTCAGTATGGCCAATCCACCTAACCTGCATATCTTTGGATGGGAGGAAACTGGAGTATTCAATGGTAACTCATGCAGTCATAGGGAAAATGTGCAAACTCCACAGTCACCCAAAGCTGGAATCAGACTCAGGTCCCTGAGAAACTGCTACCCTAAAATTATATATGTGGATCAATTGGAAAGTTGGGTAGAGAAATGACAGATGGAGTTTAATCCAACCGAGTGTCAGGTGACAAAACACAGTTGCTGGAAAAGCTCAGCAGGCCTGGTAGCATCTGTGAAGAAAAAAAAAAATCAGAGTTAACATTTCGGTGACCCTTCCTCAGAGTTGGTGGTGGCTGGGGAAGCATCAGTTTACATGCAGAAAGTAGGGACAGTGGGTGGGGTAGAGAGTAAACGATAGGATAGAGCCTAAAGAGAGAACAGTTGGACAAAGGAGTTGCGAACGATCAAGCTGGAAGAGTGAATAGTTGTTAACGGGGACTGTTAGTAACTAACAACAGGGGGTGTGTAATGGCAAGCTATGTGATAACAAGGCCTGGTGTGTGGGGTAGGGGGCTGGGACATGGGAGAGTTTAGGCCCTAAAATTATTGAATATTAATTCCAGAGGGCTGCAGGGTCACCAAGCAGAAAATGAGATGCTGTTCTTCCAGCTTGCGTTGAGCTTTGCTGGAATACTACAACAAGCTAGAGACAGAGCTATTGGCCAGGGAGCAGGGTGGTACGTTAAAGTGGCAGATAACCGGTAGTTCAGGGTCTTTTTTGCGAGCAGAACGTAGATGTTCTGCAAAGTGGTCACCCACTCTACACTTTGTTTCCCCAATGTAGAAGAGACCACATTGTGAGCAGCGAATGCAGTAGACTAGATTCTGGGAAGTGCGGGTGCAGCGTTGCTTCACCTGGAAGGTATGTTTGGGCCTTTGGATACTGGGGAGGGAGGAGGGAAATGGGCTGGTTATAGGGGAAGGTGCCGTAGAGCTGTGGGGATTCTAGGGGTGAAGGAAGTGTGGACCAGGGTGTCACGGAGGGAATGGTCCCTGCGGAAGGCAGACAAGGGACGGGAGGAGAAGGGAATATGTATCTGGTGGTGGCATCTCGCTGGAGGTGGCGGAAATGGTGTCTGATGATCTTCTGGATGTGGATGCTAGTGGGATGGAAAGGACAAGGGGAACAATACTGCTGTTGCAGGAGGGAAGAGAAGGGGTGAGGGTGGAAATGTGGGCGATGGGTTGGACCCGGTTGAGCGCCCTGTCGACAACGGTGCTGGGAAATCCTCAGTCGAGGAAGAAGATGGACATTTCGGAGGCTCCCTTGTCGAAGTTATTCTCCGAAGTTTCCTCCCTGTCCCAAGTGTGAGGTGATGCATTTTTGAGGTCAAATGCAAGAGGAAAGTATATGGTATACGGTAGGATGCTTAGGAACATTGATATCTTCGTAGAATCCCTAAAGTGTGGAAACAGGCCCTTCGGCCCAACATGTCCATACCAACCGGAGGAAACCTATGCAGACACGGGAAGAATGTGCAAACTCCACACAGACAGTCACGCGAGGGTGGAATCGAACCTGGGTCCCTGGCACTGAGGCAGCAGTGCTAACCACTGAGCCACCATGCCGCCCCGTATTTGATATATAGAGGGATCTTGGGTTAAAAGTCCATAGCTCCCTGAAAATGGCAACACAAGTGGCTAAGGTGGTAAAGGAAGCATATGCATGCTTCTCCTCAGCTGGGGCTTGGAGTATAAAAGTTGGCAAGTCATGTTGCAGTGCTTTAAACTTTAACTAGGCCACATTTGGAGTACTGTGTGTAGTTCAGGTTGCCACACTATAGGAAGAATGTTGGACAGGTTGCAAAAGAGGTTTATTTTAATGTTTCGGGCCTAGACCCTTCATCAGAAATGAATTTCTGATGAAGGGTCTAGGCCCGAAACGTCAGCCTTCCTGCTCCTATGATGCTGCTTGGCCTGCTGTGTTCATCCAGTTCTACACCTTGTTATCTCATTCTCCAGCATCTGCAGTTCCTACTATCTCTGATATTATTTTAATGTTGCCTGGATTGGACTGTATTAGCTGTAAGGAGGTTGGACGAACTGGAATTGTTTTCCCTAGAGCGTCAGAGGCAGAGGTATGAAGTAAATAGATTGAGAGGCATGGATAGGGTCAGAGGGTCTATGACATCATGGTTGGTGCAGAAATGGTGCGCTGAAGGGCCAGTTCCTGTGCTGTACTGTTCTATGTTGAAGTCCTATCTGGGTCTCCATTAGATATGTGTTTTTTTCACTTGGATAGGGTTGTTGCTAGCTGGGTTGATCCCTAATTGCCCTTGAAGGTTGGTGGTGAGCTGCCTTCTTGAATTTCTGAAAATGCTGTCGATCGCCCCACAATGCTTGAAGGATTTTGACCCAGCAACACTGCAGGAACCATGATATATTTCCAAATCAGGGTAATGACTGACTTGGAGAAGAATTTGCAGGTGGTGGTGGTGTTCCCATGTATTTGCTGCCCTTGTCCTTCTAGATGGAAATGGTGTGATTTTGAAGGTGCTGTCTGAAGATCTTTGGTGAATTCCTGCAGTGCATCTTGTAGATAGTACACACTGTTGCTAATGAGCACTGGTGGCAGATGGAGTGGATACAGTGCCAACCAAGTGGGCTGCCATATCCTAGATGATGTCAAGCTTCGAGTACTGTTGCAACTGCAGCCATCCAGGGAGGTGGTGAGTATTCCATCAGACTTCTGACTTGTGCCTTGGAGATGGTGCACAGGTTTTGCGGAACCTGGAGGTGAATTACTTCCTGCAGTATTCCTAACCTCTGACTTGCTCCTGTAACCTCAGGATTTATATGGCAGTCCTGTTGAGTTTCTGGTCAATGGTTATGCCTGGGATATTGATAGTGGGGGATAGAGTGATGGTCCCTGGCCATTTAATGGAGTTACCGTCACTTTGATTATTTCTTATTGGAGATGGTTAATTCCTCCCATCATGTGGCACAAATGTTATTTGGATTCTTATTATTTGAAGAAGGATGAACAGTTGCTGCAGTTTTCTTGAGAGTTATTCCAGTCTTTTAGATCTTTGTAATAGTTGCTCATCTTAGTTTTACACAGTAATTGTCTGTCACGCCATGTTTGCTGTATAATATTGAAAATGAGTCTAAAAGAATCTCCTGCATATCTCCATTATGATATCTATTTCTGTTTCAAATGCCTCCAGTGTTTATACTTGGCTAGAACATTTCTAAATCTGAATGTTTGTCTGAATTCACCACCATTCATTCATTCATTTCCCTAGGCCCACTCAAATTACTGCATTGTCAAAAAGTCAGCAAATACTGCGATAACAAGATGTAGAGCTGGATGAACACAGCAGGCCAATTTGTTTGCAGATTGTCCTCTGCTCCAAACAAAATGGGAACTGGACTGCTTATTAACCAAAAACAGTAAGATCTTGTGTGTTCAATGTAGACCGTACAAATCAATGCACTGTTTCTCTATCACTGCTGGCAAGCCTGTTTAGATTGTCCTTAGCAGAGAACCAAGAGCAGACTGATGTAAGTAACGAACAAGTTATGATGTTTGGTAGTACTGATGAAAAAAGACATTTTGTGAAAGCTTACCTTGCGTGCATCAGGACAACTCACAAGAATACCAATTTAAATCCACATTTATACTGCATGTAGAGTGTGCTAATTGGCTGCCATGTGGACTCTGTGATTGGCAGAAGTGTTGCCATGGGGATTGCACCAGTGAATTACTAACAACTAACTGCCAGACTTTTTACATGGAGACCAGGCAGGTTAACTCTTGATTTTTCTCAGTGACTGTACCCTTAGAAAATAACCAGCAAATGTCACCCAATTCTTGCACTAGACCCAGAGCTTTGCGGACAGACAGAACATGTAAATACACTACACCTGTTCCATTCAGCAAAATAGGAAAAAAAGTTTTTGTCTATGTGTTTTTTCAGTAATACTCACGACAATTTATTCAATTTTGTAAATTGAATGAAAACATTACCAGAACCAGCAGTTCTGGTTATTAATCTTAATCAGGCTAATATTAGGGATATAGGTGCCAAGTCAACTACTGAGAGTCACTTGTAATTGTTAATTTTGCTTGCAAAACACTTAAAGCAGGACGTGTGCAAAACAAAAGAAGTTCATGTCCTCTACACCCAGGTCTAAAATCTTCAACACGGCTTCTTTTAAAGTTAGATTAGCAAAAAAAAGGTGAAAATTTAAGCATGTAAACCTACTCCTCTACTGCTTTAGAATTCAACTGCAAACAAGAATTATCCATGACAAGGTCAAGGATTTGAAAAGAACAAAAATAAATACACTGGTGTTCATTTGGATGCAAATGTTCCTGGCCGTATTAGTCAAGTGCCAGCAAATAACTCATAAACAGACTCCAGTCATCTTCACTGGTGAATGTGAGACCTGCAAGTTAGTGCACATACTGGGTAAATCTTCATGAGCTCTACTGTACTCAGTCCTTTCTGTATTTGATAATGGTATCACAATTCAAGCAATTAAGTTATGAAGGCAGATCACATGAAACTTTCCTGCATTTGCGTGAGTTTAGAAGATTGAGATGTTTAGAATATTCTTGGTTGGGTGCAGTCAACAATGAAGCACAGAAACAGGAAACACACAGAAGCAGCTTGAGGACAATCAGCTCCTACCAGGAAAGCCAAGAGTTAATGGTACAGTAAGGCAACATTTCTAGAGTTACCTTTTAGCCATCACGACATATCGGTCAACAGGTGAACCCAAGATGACATTTATACTACGGACAGTGTTGATGTTCCTGAAGACGAGCAGCATGGGACGTGGTAGATCCTTCAGCACTTGGATGATCCTGTCAAAATGATTGCTGGCCATTTCCTGCATGTAGGCCCTTTCCTCCCTTGTCAGCATGTTGGCCAGCTGGTAAGCTGTCTGCCGCGTGTTGATTGGCCGTTGCAACAGGATCTCACAGAACAGTAAATAATCTACATGGGAGGGGAAACGTGGAGGAAGAACTTTACAGTAAGAGTTAAGATCTATAGAAATATGCTGACTTCTGAGGTAGATCAAATGCTTACCCATTATTGCACCAAGGGTTTTTTCTAAGAACTAACCAACCCCACCCCCAATCAACCTCATCTCGAAGTGACTTGTTTTCATGAGAAATTGAAGACTTATTGTCAGGATTCACCAAAGCAGTTCTGTAGCTGATGCCCTTGTGCTTAAACTGAAAATTGTTTGCAACTTCACTTCCAGTCTCAAGTTGCTCATGCATACCTAACTTATTTGTAATTAACTGTGGCACTTTACAGAATCATAAAATTATTATAACACAGGAGGTGGTTATTGAGTTGACTGTAGCAGCTCCATTCTTCCCTTAAACCTACACACTGCTTCTTTTCAGATAACCATTCCCTTTCAACTGTTTCAATTGAACCTGCCTCCACCACACACTTGGGCAGAGTATCCTACACCTTAAACATTCATTATGTGACAGGTTTCTCATGTCAGCTTGTTTCCTTTATTAATTCCCTAAATTTAAGCCCTCGTGTTCTCAATCCCTTCAAAAGAGAAATACTTACTTCCTAACTACTGTGTCTGACCCTGCAATATTTCACATCCTTCTATCAAATTTCTTTTTGTCCTCAACCTCTCAGGACTACATGCTACAACTTCTGGCTACAACTTCTGCAATCTATCCACATAATGGAAGTCCCTGATCCTTGGTGTCATTGTTGCAAACATTTTCTGTAACCTGGCTAAAGCCTTTGCCTCATTCCCAAGATATCATGTCTCGGATTAGAGATAATACTGTATCTAGTTGAGGCTGAACCAGTGTTTTACACAATTTCAAATAGGCTCCTTCTGTTGCTACTAATTGTTTTTTTTCTTTATTCATTCACGGCTTGTAGGCGTCGCTGGCCAGACAGCATCTATTGTCCATCTCTAATTACCCAGAGGGCAGTTAAGACTCAACCACATTGCTGTGGGTCTGGAGTCACACGTAGGCCAGACCAGGTAAAGGTGGTAGTTTCCTTCCCTAAAGGACATTAGTGAACCAGATGGCTTTTTCCGACAATCGACAATGGATTCACGGTCATCATTAGATTCTTAATTCAAATTCCACCATCTGCCATGGCAGGATTTGATTTCGGATCCTCAGAGTACTATTTGGGTCTCTGGATTAATAGTCCAGCGATAATACCACTAGGCCATCGCATAGGAAACTATATACTTTATTAACTGCACTCTCAACCCGTCCGCCACTAAATACACAATCCCCTGCTGTTTCAGCCACTTCAGAGTAATACCCTTTATTTGATTTTGGCTGTCCATGTTCTTCCTGCCAAAACAAATCACCTCACATTCTCCCCATTGAACTTCATCTATCACTTGTTTGCCTATTACACTAACTCATCTGCCCTTCTGAATTTCTGCATTATCATCCTCACAGTTCACAATATTTCCACGTATTGTTGTCTCCAAACTTAACATCACCATAAACCTTCCAGTCTGATAAACAGTCATCAAGCACTCTGTTTCCTGTCACTCAGCCAATTCTGTAACTGTGTTGCTGCTGTCCCTTTTTCCATGAGCTGTTACTTTGCCCACAACTTTGTTGTGCGGTACTGTATTAAACAGCTTGTGGAATTCCTTGTACATCATACCAACAGCACAGCCCTCATCAACTGTCTGGTACCACATAAAAAAAAACTCCCAAGTTAGTTGAACATGCTTTTCCTTTACAAAATACATGTTTTCTCATTAATTTTGGCTTGGATGTTTGTTTCTGGATGTTCTCTGCTGGGTTACTTTAGAATTAGTCAACATTATTTAATGAGGTGGTAATAACTGCAGTTTGTAGCATTGGTAGCACCTTTGGAGTCTAACAAAGATTGAAAAATTATGGCCTGTTCCTCTGGAATTTCCACTTTTATGTCCCTCAGCATCATTGGATATATCTCAATTAGTCGAAGTATCTTATTAAATTTAAGTACAGAAAGCCTCTTAAATTGTGTAGCTATACTGTTCAAATAGGAATTCTGCACAGCCTATGAATTCCATTCCCATTTGTTATCACAAACAATGAGTACAGTATTAAGTATCTTCATTCTTATGGCTTTGATCAGCCAAGGACACTAATTTAAATGATTGGTTGTGTTTTTAAACAAAAAAATTGAGCAGGCTAAGACAGTGGTGCTGATTCATTGTTAAAAGAATACCATTAATGATTGTCCAAAAAATTTTTTCTGCCCACTGTAGAATGCAGATTATGTCTTCTGTTAAGCATCGTTGATAAATTAATTGGTATCACATAGGGAAGAGTAATCCAAGATTGTTAGTTTACAGACATTAAATAATATTCCCTCTACTTTGTCCCCACAAAACACTCCCAGGGCAGGTCCAGCACAGAATTAGATACATCATAAAGTTCCTACAACATCCCCATCAAACTCCTCAACTTAAAGGATGGAGGGTGGTGATAAATCTGGTATTTGAATAAATCAAGGTATTAGCAGCCTTATTTATACAAATGAATATAATGCCAAAATACTAGGAGCTGTTGTTCAGATCCTACAGAGATTTAGCCAAGTACAATAACATTACTCTGAGCAATAAATGCTGTCCTAGCCAGTGAAGAACACATCTAATGTACAAAGGGGAAAAAATCTTTACGGATAGCATAATCATGTCCCTCACCTTTGACCCCCAGCTCACTGGCAAATTTCTTCATTGCAGCATCGTTGAGCAGGATGATGGAACGCCAGAGTTTACAGAGGCTAATCCGGTCCCTAAGAGTGAAAAAAGCATCTGATCGACACAGCATCTAACCTGAAGTTTCAGCAATCACATTATCAAACATCTACAGGTCCTCCCTCCCCTGCAGTCTCTGCCACAGAGGACAAAAGTTGCAATGAGGTGGCAACTACACAAGCTCCAGGATCCACACCTAATCAAAGAAATACTGAAATTCCTACATTTCATACCTAACAGCATTGTGGGAGATTTTTCAGCGCACACAGTGTAGTGGTTGAAGGTGGTAGCTCTACTAATTTCATGGGGTGACTAGAGATGGCTACGCGGTCATTTCTACTATTGGGGATTAAGTGTGATGGTGGATACTCTCCTTCAGTGCAGAAGCTGATTAATTATTTATCCACCTGACAGTCTGAATAGAATACTTTCTAAGTTACTGAAAGCTTGAGGTAAACATTGGGAGATGCTGGCCAAAATCTTCCAATTTCTGAGAGGTCTAGAAAATTGAAAATTCACACCCTTGCCCAAAAAAGGGAGAAGAATAAGCATGGCAATTTTAGGCCAGTCAGTTAAACATTAGTGGCAAGAAAACCTTGGAAAAATAGCTTTAGATAAAAATCAACAATGACTTAGACAACTAAAGCCTAATAAAGCAGAGCCAGCATAAATCTTTTAGGGATATTTGTGTTCGACTAACTTGAATAAAATTATTACAGAAATGAACAGAAGGTGGATGAGGCTGCTGTTATCAGTAAATAAAAACCGAAAGAACTACGGCTGCTGTAAATCAGAAGCAACAACAAAAATTGCTGGAAAAGCCTAGCAGGTCTGAGTTCTGAGGAACAGTCACTTGACCCAAAATGTTAACTCTGATTTCTCTCCACAGGTGCTGCCAGATCTGCTGAGCTTTTCCAGCAATTTCTGTTTTTCTTTCTAGTTGTTATTGCTGTTTATGTGGACTTTCAAAGGCATTTGATAAAGTACTGTATGCTTTTGAACCAATAGCAGAATGGATACAAATTTGAGTGACTGTTTTGCCAAATTCGATGGAATTTAATTTCTCAAGCATTTAGTAGTAGAATCACAGTTGCTTTAAATGCATGTTAATAAGCTTGGATTTAAGATACATGACATACTGTCACAATTCACATACAAAACTTGGATGTGTAATAAACATTGAAGAAAATTATATTGGATTTCAGGAGGTCATGAATAGATTGTCGGAAAGAAGATAAACTGAAATTCAACAGAAAAACATGCTGAATAATACAATTTAACAAGTGGAGTGTGAGATCAGTGGCCGAGATGTGTAAAAATTTTGAGACAGGTCAATAAAGCAGTTTAAGGATATTGCATACTGGGTTTTAAAAAAAGAACAGAGTACAGAATCCAGGGTACTAAATGTATACAATACATGGGGTTTGGCTGCAGCTAGAGCAATGTGTCCAATTCAGAATATCACTATTTAAAAAGGATGTCAAGACTTTGGAGAAATTACCTAAGTAAACTCTGCAGTCCTGCCACATCCAGTTATGAATGGTGATGGACAAGTAAACAACTTGCTCCATAAATATTCCCATCCTCAATGAGGGAGGAGTCCAGCACATCAATGCAAAAGATAACGCTGAAACATTTGCAGTAATCTTCAGGCAGAAGTGCCGACTGGAAGACTCATTTCAGCCTTCTCGGTTGTATCCAGCAGCACAGATAGTAGTCTTCAGCCAATTAAATTCTCTCCATGTGATATCACGTGGAGTGGTTGGAACCACTGGAAACTGCAAAGGCGATGGGTACTGACAACATTCCGGCAATAGTACTAAAGACTTGTGCTCTAGAACTTGCTGTTCCCCTAGTCAAGCTGTTCCAGTATAGTTACAACACTGGCATCTACCCAACAGTGTGGAAAATTGCCCAGGTAAATACAGTACACAAAAAGCAGGACAAATCCAACCTGACCAATAATCACTCCAGAGATAACACAGTGTGGATCTGGAGAAACACAGCGGTCCAGGCAGCATCAGAAGAACAGGAAAGCTAACGGGTCAGGACCCTCCTTCAGGAATTTCTAATAACTGTAACCCCTCCCCATTTCTGAAGAAGGGTCCCGACCGAAACGTCAGCTTTCCTGTTCCTCTGATGCTGCCTGGCCTGCTGTGTTCCTTCAGCTCCACACTTTGTTATCACTAACTCCAGCATCTGCAGTTCTTGCTATCTCAATAATCCCCCCATCAGTCTACTCTCGATCAACAGTAGAGTGATGGAAGGTATCATCAACAGTGCTATCAAATAGCATCTACTCAGGGACGCCCAGTTTGGGTTCTGCCAGGGCAACTCAACTCCTGACCTCATTACAGCCTCGATTCAAACATGGACTAAAGAGCTGAATTCTAGAAGTGAGGCGAGAGTGACAGCCCTTGATATCGAAACTGCATTCAATAGAGTATGGCAGCAAGGAGCCCTAGCAAAACTAGAATCAATGGGTATCAGAGGGCACAGTCTGCTAATTGGAGTCATAACTGGCACATAGGAAGATGATTGTTGTTTCTGAAGGTCAGTTATCTCAACTCCAGGGCATCTGTGCAGGGGTTTCTCAGCGTAGTGTCCTCGGCTCAACCATCTTCAGGTACTTCAGCAATGACTTTCCCTCTAACATAAAGTTCAGAAGTGGGGACGTTGTGCAATCCTTGGCAAATGTTCAGCACCATTCACGACTCCTCAAAAACTGAAGCAGTCTGCGTTCAAATGCAACAAGATCTGGACAATATCCAGGCTCAGGCTGACAAGTGGTAAGTAACATTCACACCACATTAATGCCTGGCATTGACCATCTCCAATAAAAGACAATCTAATCACCACCGCTTGACATTCAATGGTGTCACCATCACTGAATCCCCCACTATCAACATTCAGCTGATGGGAATTTGACTTATTCAGAGGATGTGGGTGTCATTTATTCCCATCGGAGATGCCCTTGAAAGGTGATGGTAAGCTGCCTTCACGAAGCACCACAATCCGTTTGGTGTAGGCAGACTCACAATGCTGTTAGGGAGGGAATTCCAGGATTTTGGCCCAGCAACACTGAAGAAACAGTGGCATATGTCCAAATCAAAATGTTGAGTGGTTTGCAGAGGAACTTTCAGGTAGTGGTGTTCCCATGTATCTGCTGCCCTCTTCCTCCTAGATGGTAGAGATCATAAGTTTGGAAGGTGCCATCAAAGGAATTTTGGTGAATTCCTGCAGTACATCTTGTAGATGGTACAACTGCTGCGACTGAGAAGGGAGTGAATGTTTGCAGATGTGGTGCCAATCAAGTGGGGTGCATTGTCCCAGATGGTATCATTTTGAGTGTTGGTGCAGTCTGCATCATGAAGACAAGTGGGGAGTATTCCATCATACTCCTGACTTCTGGATGGGCTTTGGCGAGTCAGGCAGTCAGTTACTCACTGTTCTTGTTGTCACAGTATTTATATGGCTATTCCAGCTCAGTTTCTGGTCGGTGGTATCTCCCCAGATGTTGATAGTGGGGAATTCAGCAATGGTGATGCCACTGAATGTCAACAAGCAACTGTTAGAGATTATCATTGCCTGGCACTTAACGTAAAACAAAACTTTTCATTTTGCGGACCAAGCTATTGTCCAGATTTTGTTTCATTTGGACGTGAATTGTTGTAGTTAGTGGTCATGAATGGTGCTGAAAATTGTGCGATCAGTGAACATGCCCACTTCTGATCGTATACAAACAAATGAACAAAGAAGAAAAGTATGCTACTCGGCCCTTTGAGCCAGCTCCACCATTCAATGAAAGCATGGCAGATCTGATTTTAACTTCAATTCTACTTTCCTGTGTGCTCCTGAATACTTAGTTAGATTCCTGGTTACCAAGGGGATACTATCTCTATCTTAAACGTATTTAAAAATTCTGCATCCACTGACTCTTGAGGGAGGGAATTCCAAAGACACCTCAACCCTCGGACAAAAAAAGTTTCCTCACCTCTATTTTAAATGGGTTATTGCTTATTTTTAAACTATCACCTCTGGTTTAGATTCTCCTTCAAGAGAAAGCATCCTTTCAATACCTATCCAGTCTAGTCTCTCAGGATCTTACATTTCAATTAAGTCACCTCTGAGTCTTCTAAATTCCAGAGAATATAGGCCTAGCCTGTCCAGCCTTTCCTCATAAGGCAATTGACTCATTCCAGGTTCTAATCCAGCAAACCTTCACTTAACTGCTTCCAATGCATTAACATCCCTAAGTATGGTGACCAATACTGTTCAACGGTTACAGGGAAAGGACAAAAAATTGGACATGAGGAATGTTGGATCAGCCATGATCCTGTTGAATGCGTTCATGGAGGAAATTCCAGGATTTTGACCCAGCAAGGGTGAAGGAACAGCGATATATTTACAAGTCAAGGTGTTGAGTTGTTTGGAGGGGAATTTACAGGAAATAGTATTCCCACATACCTGCTGTCCTTGTCCTTCTAAATGGTAGTGGTCATGGGTTTGGAGGTTACTCTAAGAATCTTTCAAGAATAGATAGTACACATTGCTACTACTGAGCATCATTGCTGGAGGGAGTGGATGTTTTAGATGTGGTACCAGTCAAGCAGGCTTTGTCCTAGATGGTGGCAAGCTTCTTGAGTGTTGAAGTTGGTTGGCTCGCCGAGCTGGTTTCTTGTTTCACAGATGTTTCGTTACCATGCTGGGTAACATCCTCAGAGCAGCCTCTGATGAAGCGTCGGTGCGTTCTCCCGCCTGGTTTTTAAACTCTGGGGTCCGTTGAGATGGATTGCCTCACTTCCAGTTTTCCTTTGTAGTGTAATGTATATGGGGTCAAGTTCAATATGTTTATTAATAGCATGCTTCGTGGAGTGCCAGGCTTCTAGGAATTCTCGTGCCTGTCTCTGCCTAGCTTGTCCCAGGATTTTGGTGTTGTCCCAGTCGAAATGGTGGTTCTCCTTGTCCTTGTGGATTGAAATGAGAGTACTGGTCGTGTCTTTTTGTAGCCAGTTGGTGTTCATGTACTCGT